ATTTTCTTGTAAAATAGCATTGTTTGAAACCTTGTTGGCTTTTTAGCTTTAGCTTATGCTAGCCGTTGTTGGGAAATGATTAACTTGCCCTTTAGGTCATTTTTTGCAAATAATGGCTAAAAGTCAGTCATAATTTATTTATTTATTTATTCGATTTTTACCCCGTCCCTCTAGACAACGTCTACTCGGGGCAGCTATAATAGAGTAGGCCCATTGAATCAGTGGGGAATTTGGTGAGTCAGCTTCTCTGCAATGTCCATTGATTCAAATGGACCTATTCTAGTTGCAACTTATTACTCTAAAGTAAGCCACAGCTAGGTAAACCCATTTAAATCAGTGGAACTTATGGAGGAACTGACTCACCAAATTCCCACAGATTCAGTGGGACTACTTCAGTATAACTTACTACATTAAGCAACAGGATTTCAGCTAATACAGAGGTTGGTCCAAATGTTCTAAACTTTACTGGAAGCCATCTGAATCTTTAAAAAGGTTAAATGCATTTTCTTGTAAAATAGCATTGTTTGAAAACTTGTTGGCTTTTTAGGTTTAGCTTATGCTAGCCATTGTTGGGAAATGACTAGAATTAAACTTGCCCTTTAGGTTATTTATTGCAAATAATGGCTGAAATCCAGTTGTTTAGCATAGTAAGTCATAATAGAGTAGGCCCATTGAATCAGTGGGGAATTTGGTGAATCAGCTTCTCTGCAATGTCCATTGGTTCAAATGGACCTATTCTAGTTGCGACTTATTACTCTAAAGTAAGCCACAGCTTAGTAAACCCATTTAAATCAATGGAACTTATGGAGGGACTGACTCACCAAATTCCCACAGATTCAGTGGGCCTACTTCAGTATAACTTACTACATTAAGCAACAGGATTTCAGCTAATATATTGACATAGTTTATGTTACTTACCAAGCAACTCATAAAAAAAATTGAATAGGCTTCACATCTCACTAAAATTAATTTCAAAAAGTCCAATCGTTAAAGCATGTCTGTACCACACTTATTCCAGGTCATAATTGGAACAGCTGGAGCAATTTAGACCTCCCACACTGAATAGTTCCTAAATAAAAGTTCCACTTCAGTGTTTTGTTGTTGAGAAGCTCAAGCCTCCTTTGGTAGCTATCAACTTTCCTGCAGTAATCATTTGAGAGAGAGTAACGAGGCATAGAATGAAGTGGTTTGCTTCCCCAGAGGTAGATGCACACTGTTGCCATTTAAAACAGATGCCTGCAGTGCTTACCTACACTTCCTTTGCTGACTGCTTAATTTCTTTTGTTAACTGGCTCATTTGTTCTATGCTGCGTTGGAGGGAAGAACAGGTAATGTTTAAGAGAAAAATTGACATAAACAAGGAACACAGGTTCCTCCTCTTTGCATATCATTATGACCGGTTTCAACTTTTTTCCCCCTTAATCAGGAGAGCAGTTCAGATTCTTAATGAGTAGAGACAAATTTGTAATACAGCTGACCATCAAAAAATTCTCCCAGCTACAGTATGCTATACCTACTTTACTGAAAACAAACGAACCCTTGTTCAGCTGGGAGCAGGCTCCACAGAACTCAGTGGGACTTATTTCCAAGTGGACACTATTATGTCTTCAATGTCAAGAAATGATTTTTTTAAAAAAAAATTAGAGTATATCTTTAAGAAATATGCTTTAAAAACTGCTCTTCTATAAATGCTTTCCTTATTTCTTCTCCAGACACATCAGCACTGTCATCTCAAATCCCACATTTGGCTTGCTCTGTTTACTGCATGACGCTGAAAGATCTGCCAGCCATGGTTCGCCTTTGGTGGAATAGTTGTGAGAAACGAGTCTTCAGCATAGTAGATAAATTTACAAGCAGATATGTCAGCAGCATACTTTCCTCGCAAGAGATAGCTTCTGTGCAGACCAGTACACAGTTGTTTAATGGCATGATGGTTGGTATTGTCTTAGCTATACGTTTATGCATTTTACTATCTATTTATCTTCTACATGTTTGTAGCCTCTGGGTGCAGGATTCAGGGTGTCTCACAACACGAATTTAAACAGATATCACTAAAACAAGTGATAATTTTTTTTAATGAACTGTATCAGTATTAGTAAAAACAAGTTTGAATTAAAACTATTTAAATCCATGTAAAAGAGCAAAAGAATGTGTACAATATCCCAAGCTGTTCAGTAGCCAAAAGCCTCTCTAAATAAAAAGGGTTTTGCCTGCCAGGAGGAGGAGCAGGGGAGCAGAGCGGAAACCAACCTGGCCTCCCGTGGAAGGGATTCCCACAGCCTGGGAGAGTCACTGACTACGCTGCCTCTTAGGCCTTCACTAAGCATGCCTTTGAGGATGGTAAAACAGGGGGAAGGATTTCTCAAAGATCTGAAGACCTCGGCAGGCTTGGGTAGATACATTATATCTTTGTATTGTAGGCCTTACATTGTAGAAAACGTAGTACAGTGGTGCCTTGCATGACGTTAATTCGTTCCGCAAAAATCGCTGTCGAAGGAAAACATTATGCAATTTTAAAAAGCCCATAGAAACGCATTAAAACCCAATTAATGCGATTCCTATGGGCTTAAAACTCACCGTCCAGCAAAGATCCTCCATAGCGCGGCCATTTCCGCTGCCCCTGCAGCAAGGAATCCGTCCCTAAACACAGCGGGCGGCCATCTTTTTCACCCGGCGGCCATTTTGAAACCGCTGATCAGCTAGCCGAAAATCATTGCTTTGCGATGATCGGTTACCAAAACAGGGAACCGATCATCGCAAAGCGAAATTTCCCCATAGGGAACATCGTTTTATGATCGCTTTTGCGATCGCAAAATCTTCAACGTAATGCGATTTCGTCGTCAAACGGAGCACTCGTAAAGCGAGGCACCACTGTACTGCAAATAAAGTCTATATCTAGTGTTTGATTGGAAATATAATGTGAAATGGTATCCAAGTGCACTTCCAGAAAAATAAATTTGTGTGACTGGTGGTGTTAGGCATCCTTCAGTCTCGAGAGACTATGGTAACGTGCTCTGTATGGAGGACTTGGAACAGCATCTAGCATGGCTGAGAAGGCCAATTCGAGAGTGACAATCCCTTTCCATGTTGTTTCAATGCTGTATGCGAAGCTGGAGTGTCCTCTCCAGAGCATGAAGCCTGGGTAAAATAATATGGAGGATAGGCTGTTACCCAAGCAGCAAATCCCCCCTCTCCACGTCGCTGAAATAGTCCAATGGAAAGGCAAGAGCCAATACAATTGGTTCCAGCGACGTCCCAGGAGTTGGCAGAATGACACAAATTGCCTCCGGGACTCCAGCTCCGGATGTGTGACTAGTGGCGTAGATTAAAGCACCACTTCTGTTCATTAGAGACAATCCACAGCTGAGCAAAATGAAATCTAGAAATGCCTTCTTTTATTTGTGATGGCACAAATGGAACATAACGATTCCAGAATAGTGTTGCTTCTCTGAGAAAAAAAAATTGTGACTCAAACATACACTCCTGTAACCACAGATAGGCCAGTGTCCTTGACCATTCTGTCTACACAGTATTTTTCTGACATTGCACAAAGAGGAATCCACTACTTCCTTGTGCCAAGCATACAGCCCTGTTCATCTTACTGGGACGATCTCTGGCTTATTTAATAGCAAGAAAGAGATAGCACAGACCATTGCTCTGGCGGAAGTATTCACATTCACTTCACATTCCTAAACAGGATACTAGCCATAAAAATTAATACAGTACATAGGTTTGTATTGTGCTGTCTTTTGACTAGTAGGTCACTCCTTTAGTTGGATATTTTAAGTTTCTGTCTTCTAACCAGCGTTCCTGATGTCACAGTAGGAGTCAGTTTCCCACAGTATGTAAGGTGTTAGTAGCAATTTCTTTTTACAGTTGCTTCTGAACTATCCTTATTAAACCTTTGTAGTAATCAGTGGGCTCTGTCTGAATCACAGTTTATTCGGTTGAACACCCAGTTTTGTTGAGGGAGAGTTGCAGGTATGTTATTGCACATTTCTAGCTTTTGTTGCAGAACTTGGAAAAGATACATTTTTTTTCCGACTGCAGCTACTAGAATGTGGATCATGTTGGCCAAGGGATTCTGCTGTTGCAGCCCCCAAAAGTAACTTCTTACAGCTCTGCTTTTGTGTAGTTGCTTGGTAGCATTTTTCTGTTGAAAGTAAACAGTTTTCTGCCCACTCCTTTCCTTCCCCACCCCCACAGGTGAAAGCCCGATCTGCTACTCGAGAAGTCATTGCTACCTACTCTGTTGACGATATATTCATTGAACTGATCATACAGCTTCCCCCAAATTACCCTCTGGGCTCCATAGTTGTTGAGAGTGGAAAGAGAGTTGGAGTAGCAGTTCAGCAGTGGCGCAATTGGATGTTGCAACTGAGCACATACCTCACTCATCAGGTTGGTTTCCCATAAAAACATCTTGTTTCTTTTGTTAACCTGAGTTTCAAAAGGATCTCCATTCTTGCTTTAAAGAATGTTTCTGTTCAATTTGATGCAATAGAAGTGATGTATCTGTTGGTTGGTTGTGTTCCTCAGCTGCATATTTATAGCTAGTTCAGAGAGCATTATAATGTGCTTCAAGGAGCGGGAACAGTATTCTTAGACAACATCAAAACTGAGCATAGTAACTATCTTTTGTTTTTTAGCACTTTTCAGTTTTTCTGTTCAAAAAATATAACTTGTTCTTACATTTGTACTGCTGTGTGTGCTTCCCCAAGAATGTACTATAAAACCCAGAAAGGTAACTGCTGATTGGTTTTCCTCCTTATTTCAAGTTCTATTTGGCTTCTAAAAAATAAACAAATCAACCTGAAAGTTTATTGAGAGGTGGGACACTGACTCTCTGGATATTTTGGCCTATACCTCCCAGTTGTCCTGATGAGGGATTATGGGAATGATAACTTAAAACCATCTGGAGGATCAGAGCTGTCCATCTCTGAATATATCTTTTAGGATTAATGGGAGTTTAGTGGAATATGAAATCGAGAGCCTGGCTTGTAACTAATTATTTATTCATTTTGAATGAAAGGCACTTGAGTTTGACTTAGTTTCCTTTTCACAAAAGAATTCTACATATAGCATAGCTGCTCATTAAAAATGGCAGCTTAACACCCGTATTGTATGGGAAGTAACTGCAATAAAACTCCAGGAGTGGAATGGTCACCTGACAGAGCTAAACACTACAGAGGTAACTACTGTAAACTTGGTTCATGCATGAAGCCTAATGAATATTGCAGTACTCGGGTAGGTGCATATAGCTCTGAGGAAGAACAAGCATACAGATCCATTCCCATCTGTGTACTCCGGAGTACTCTGTTTAGACATAGTGCTTCAAGAGTGCCAGCTTCGTGTTCCACGTCTTAAAATGTTTCCTGTAAAACTTTGGTAAGTACCACAAACCAGTATATTGGAAAAATGCATTATTGGGTTTTGAAAGGAAGGTTTTTTTGTTTGTTTTTTTAAGAATGGAAGCATTATGGAAGGTTTAGCGCTTTGGAAAAACAATGTGGATAAACGTTTTGAAGGTGTTGAAGACTGCATGATCTGTTTCTCGGTTATACATGGCTCCAACTACTCCCTCCCTAAGAAAGCATGCAGAATGTGCAAGAAAAAGTTCCATTCAGCTTGTCTGGTAAGTAACTGGAGTAGGCAGATATTAGCCTAAGATATAAAGGAAATGAATACGTAGAAGTAAATTATACAAATGTCCATTTACCTGTACTAAAGCTAAGGATCTGAATGCTGAGCAGCCATATTAGAACTGGGTAAAAACTAATGTAAATATCCAAAGCCAGCATTTCCTAACGTGATGCTCTCCTGGTATCACAGACTGCAACTTCCATCATAGGTGTACAATATCTTGAACATCATAGAATTCATAGGCTTTTAAGGATCCTTTGTGCGTGTACTTTAGAAATATATTTATCTTCAATTTTTATCCAAATATTAAATAAACCTTGGCAGTCTAAGTAGCTAGCAATTTAATATTGAATGTCTGGCAAATGAAACTTTTTCACACTGTTTTTCACTCTTCTAGTACAAATGGTTTACATCTAGCAACAAGTCAACCTGTCCCCTTTGTCGAGAGACCTTCTTCTGAAAGACACCTTCTCTGCTTCAGTGAAATTCTCAAACAAAATAAGATGACAATCACGTATGGATCTAGCTGTGTAAGAAGCCAATTTAGTTCTAGCTTTATCTGCAAATAAAAATCTTACATTCCTTGGTGGTCAGCATGCTGTACAAAATCATACATGGGAATTTTTATATTAAGATGTCTTAATTTATTCACTATATTAAAATATTTTGACACTTGCAATGGAAACACTTTTGCGTAAAACATTTAAATGTGCCCAGCTACCCTTTTAGGAAATGACATCAAATCTATTAGAGAACATGGTTGTTATTGTTGAAATACAGTTTTTATGGACACCTTTCCCTAGGTGACCAGACTTTGCTCTTTAATTTCCACTAGGCCTGCTTGTACATCCACTCTGATAATGTAACCCTGTGTAACAGCTTGTGTTACCAGTAGGAAAGATTACGAGTTTTTGCAAGTGTTGCTATGAGTGCAACTCTGTGAGAAATCTTTTCACTTCATTCTGGTTACCTACCACATTTACTTGCAAATACAAGTATAGTAACATCGGTTAAAATGATTAGGGCTGATTAATTTTGCTTAGCTTTTCAACTAGGCATTATTTGCTGGTTTCAGGCCAGTCTTTGGTGTTCAGCCCTAGTGGCTCAGTCTTCCTCACAGGAATTTTATTTATAGAGGTACACAGTAGTCTGATCATTAAATTTAAGGAGACAGCAGGAGGTCCAGCAAGTGGGCTTGGCAGCAACATGCTGCGATTACTCTGATAAGGGCCTTTGCTTTCCATTAAGTAGCATCTTCACCTGGAGCTGGAACAGTGGGAGAAGCAGCAGAGAATGAATTCCATGGTGCATTTCTGCAACAGAGGAGGTTTATCGGTCTTCTGTACTGTATGGCTCTCTGTTTCACCATCAGCTGTTTGGCTGCTCACATCTCAGAGTGGGGGAGGAAAAACAAAATGGCTACATGGTGTCTGTCTTGCAGTGGAACCCACATCATTAGCAAGGAGTGTCCTCTCACCACCATTCAGTTTGCCACCATTGGGATACTGTACCGAATGTCTCTTATGTCTTGAATTTAGCAAGACAATAAACAAGAACAGTCCTCTTCAAGACTTGCAAAACTTGAGTACTGAGAGGTTCTCTCTTCCTGCTTGTCTGGAAAGTAGTTCAGAGCCATTTAAACCACCCTTCTCCAAGTTTTTGATAATTTCATCTGGAATTTTTTTAAAAAATGACAGTTTGATTAGCCTTTCTTTTGAATAAAACCTATTGCCAACATTTTAAAAAAATTCTTGCAACATTTCCCTCTCCTCCTCCTCTGTATTTTATCTGGAAAATAAACAGGGAAGGAGAAAAATGTACACGTGGAGGACGGTGAAACTGCTTTTAGGAATAGTTTTTAAAAGGCTGATTAGCCTTTCTTTTGAATAAAACCTATTGCCAACATTTTAAAAAAATTCTTGCAACATTTCCCTCTCCTCCTCCTCTGTATTTTATCTGGAAAATAAACAGGGAAGGAGAAAAATGTACATGTGGAGGATGGTGAAACTGCTTTTAGTAATAGTTTAAAAAGGCTTCCATGTTAGTCTGTGTGAGGATATCATGCAAAAACAAAATAAAAATGAAGAAGACAAATATGTTCTGGAAACTTAAAGACTAACTACTATATTTTAAAGTGGCCTTTGGTGAACGAGTCCACTTCCTCAGACGTAAGAGTGGGACTACCTGGCAAATATTCATACATGGTCCCAAAACAAAGTTGTTGATAATGCAGAATTTCACATTTGTTTGAGTAAATTTGCATTTGTTTTTAGACAGAAAACTAACACTCACAGAAGCAGTGTTATCTAATGTTTCCATTCTTCTATTTATAAAGACCATAAACATGCATTTAAATTAAACAGATAAGCAATTGCTATGAACCATTTTAGCTTCAGCTTGCCTCTTGTGGGAAAAATACCCTGTACTTCTATCTACTTTTCAGCTTACCTTTACTAGAGTGACATTCCCTGCCTTTTTTCTGAATGACTTAAGATACCTATAGAAACTATGTGCAGGAATGTCAAGGCCACAGCTTAACTCCTAGGTTTTCCTACATATAATCAATAAAAGAACAGTGATAACAACAAAATATTGCAGCTTCTGAGAAGTTATTTTAGTTTAAAACACCAGCCTGGAACCATGGCTCTCAGTATGGACTGGGGCAGAAGGAAGAAATGGAAAACACATAACCTGTCTCTCCTCCCCCAAAGCCTCAGAAAAGGTGTCCCTACTGTTCTGTAAAGCACTAGGGATTTTAGACTGAGAACCAGCCGCTAGCTCTAAATTAGAGCACTTTATTTGTATATATTGCTGTGGTAAGGTTTTTGAGAGCAGAAAACATGAACTTTTTATTTCCCTCTTAAAATATCCTTCTGGAGTGCCATAGGAGCTGTTTAACCATGCCACCCTTTGGTGTCCTAATCAGCACTTCCACAATATTTATTTATTTATTTATTTATTTATTTATTTATTTATTCATTCATTCATTCATTCATTCATTCATTCATTCATTCATTCATTCATTCAATTTATATGCCGCCCACACTACCCAGCGGTCTTAACTATAGGGTTACCCAGTTCCAGGCAGGCCCCTTCTCTCACCCTGCTCTTCCCATTCTCCAAGTTCTATAATTGACTATATATATATAACCAAAAAATATATATATGCATACCTTGATACTCTGAGTGTCATGTAGAAACAACTATCTTATCTGTGAGTAGTCCCATTTCATATTCAAGAGAGCCAGAGTTGAGCCACTCCTCTTACTTACTGTGTGAATACTGGCAGTGGGGATGAGAACATTTAAATGGGAGATGCTCAAAGCTTAGAAACAACTCCAAAATCACCATTATCATCTTACGAATGCAGAGCTGGAAGGGACCCATAGATCATCAAGTCCAGTCCCTGGTAAGGCGGCACAGCGGGCAATTGAACTCTCAAACTCTGGCTCTTCAGTGTCATTTACCTGATGTTATTTTAGGACTGGTGGCAAAGTTATTATTTTGAAAAATAATGCAACAACCACTTACGTTACGTTTGGATGGCTACTTATTTCTTCAAAACATTGGTGCTGAGTTATTTTTGTACTTTTAAAAGATAAGTTATGCGCTATGTGAGTTGTCCATGTAATGAACAACATGCTGTTTTTCAAAAGAATAACAATAACGTTAGCTTTTCCATAATAGGTTCCCAGACTCTGATAATGCATGAAGGGCCCTCTCTACGTATCCGCTTGAGGGCTGTTTTTGGTGGTGTTAATCCATGTGCAGAGAAATGAGAGTCCAGTGTGGCATAATGCCATCCCCAGATTACAGGGATTGTGACTCGTTTGTTTGGAATAATTGCTGTGTCTGAAAAGATTTTTGATATAATAACATCCAATATAATAATAGTGTCATAAGAGCAATATTTACAGTTTGAAGGTTATTTTTTTTAAGAGATTCAGTGAACCCACGGTTTTAAAAGGATTATTTTACCTGGATTATTTTCTTTGATTGTAACTAAGTAAAAGTATCCTTTGGGTGAAAGCAAGTCTGGTACCAGTGGGAAGAGTCTGTCCATAACTTCTCTGCCATTTTTACCTCCAGCCCAGGCTGCCTGTATTCCATGATTTTTTACCTAGAATAAATGACACAGGAAATTGACCAAGTGGCATTTTTAGAAGAAATAATTTGACCTCTACCATGTCTGAAGTCAAAGATACTTGTATTGAGTTCCTTATCTCATCCACCTATTTGTGTAGCTTTTAAATTAGGCTTTTATAGCAAGCTGACCTTACTAGCAATGATGACTGAAGAAGCAGGTTTCAATGAACCTGTTTGTGATGTAAAGCCTCATAAAGGTAGAAAACCTACATCCATTGCAATGTGAACAAGTGCCAACAGACACAGAAGGTCTTATTGATGAGTGAATGTGCACAGAAACAGGCTACAAATATGCAGAAAATCAGAGGTTTTCAGAAAATATACAAACACTTAAGCACATTACCTAGATAAATGCAGAGTTATTGGGAACTGCTGCAAGTAAACTAGAGAAAATAAAGTTCAAGTAGCCAATGGCCATTCAACCTTTTCTTTAGCATTTTCAGACAAATAAAGCATTATGCATTCAGCGGATAACAAATATTTAATAGGTTGGTAACTGATTTTCTCAACTGAATTCTCATACAGTTCTTACCTCAACAGAAGGAGTTACCACATAGGGTGGATTAAATACTAGCAGATCAACTTTCCCGTGTAATCGTGGCAACAATCCTGTGACCTAGACATATGTAGAGGTTAAATAATTTAAAACTGTGAAAAATACAGCAGAAGTGAAAGATATCTGTATATTAACCTATTTATGGAAAACCAGTCTTCCAGTAGAAGCCAGAAAATGCTGTTCGCTTGCTTTATATACAGGCTGCCATCTACAAGCTCACCAAAACCATTTACTGCTAATGTCATGAAAGCTGGCCTAGGCAAAATCATGTAAGAGACTCCTTCCAGGGATGATCCTTCCTTGGTTCAGGATAGTAATACAAAACAGACAATCTGCATTCACATTGTGGGAATTTGTTTTTTAAGTATTGTACTGTGATTTTACTAGATTTGATGTAAGGCATGCAATATATTTTAATGATAGTAGTAATATATGATTAAACTGGTGACCTGCCAGAAGAATCCATTATAATTTGATTCTTACCAGATCTGTTATTATGGGTTGAATATCAACTTTGTTACGTATTGCTGTCTCCACTGTGCACAGACTTGCCACAGGGTTGATATCAGTACACCTGGAAATACAAAACAAGTCAGACTCAGATAATACAAGCTATCTGGTCAACTGAAGAAAACAAGAACAACATTAATATGATTTTGATGAGATGGTACTGAAACTATACTACAATTTATATCAAAAAGCTGTAGTGCCTAGAAAGACATTTTTTCTAGTGCAGTTTGCAACTATTAAGTCATATTAGCTGTCACTTGTCTGAAGAATTCAGATAGTCCTAGTTTGCTTTCATCCATCGTTATTTATTTTTTACGTTTATACTCTGGCTTTCCACTCCAAAGCAACTTAGTATTCATAAAAAAGGAAAACTAAAAAAACAAATGTAGCCACAAAAGCATCACTAGTCTTTGAGGCAACTCAACCCATGAAGACACTTTCTCAACAATCTAAAGTGGTGCCTCGCTTAGTGATTGCCTCGTCTAACGATGTATGCGCTTAGCAATGAGGTTTTTGGAGCGATTTTGCGATGTCCATTTAGCGATGTTCCCTATGGGGAAAATTCGCATAGCGATGTTCGGGACCTTGCCTCGCTTAGCGAAGACAGTTTTAGGTCCCGTTTCGCTTAGCGATGTTCCGTTTTCGCTATTTTTAAAGTGTCTTAAGAGGTTCAAAAATGGTTTAAAGTGTTTGGGATCGTTAGTGCACCTTCTAAAACGTGAGCAAACTTAATTTGGCTTTGATCTGACTCTTTGTTAATTTTTGGTGAATTTTTTTCTCCCCCATTGGAAAGCATTGAACTGCAGGTTTGAAAGCTGGATGCTTAGCGATGTTTCCTATGGTGATTTTCGCTTAAGGATGGCAATCCGTTCCCATTGGAACGGATTAACCGGTTTTCAATGCATTCCTATGGGAAATGGTGTTTCGCTTACCGATGTTTTTCCATAGCGATTTTTTTTGAACCAGTTAACATCGTTAAGCGAGGCACCACTGTATTTTGAACTAATTGTGCAGCCTAAAGCATTTGTTGCAATAATTAAAAAAATAGTATGTATCTATGGTTCCTGTATTGGAATCTGTGTTGGGAAAGAGTTTTTTTGCAAACCATAGTTTAGTATTAGGTCCAACAGTTACACATACTGTTCTGCCTTCTGAAAAGATGAAAAACAAAGGTAGACAAACTTATAAGCTGTGGTGGGGGTGGGGTTAAGTACCATATACACCAAAAGGTCAAATGCACTCCAGTTTCCATTTACTCTACATTACTTAAAAGAGAATCTACTTACAGGTATAATGCTGTGGGTCCAAAAATGGAAGCCAAAAAAGTTGAAACTACACCAGATCCACATCCTACTTCAAGGCAGATGTCAATGCTGCATATATATTTTTTGCAAAAAAATAAAGGTGCAAAAAGATGAGCATGAAATTGGCATTGTTATGTACCCTTCAGACAATAGTGACCGTGTAGCTTATTACATTTCTGTATGCACACAAACTTGTTGAAATCCTGAATACTTTAGAACTACACTGCATAGCTCATTAATTTAGGTCTCTGGCTGCAGAGCCAGAGGTTGGGAGTTAAATTCCCTGCTGTGTCTCCTTGACTTGATGATCCATAGTGTCCCTTTCAGTTCTCCAGTTCCAAGATGACGATGATGATTAACTTATACTATAAAACAGATGCTAAAAGTCAGTGTAAGCTTTACTTAAAGGCATATGGAGAGTTACAGTTGCCCATCCTCAGCTCTTAGAGTGCTATAGTCACAGGGAATATTAACAGATTTTACATCAGCAAGTACTTGCCACTGCTTCTAACTGAGGTGGCATGCTGTCTTCAACACAACTGTTGTGTCACATCTTACAAATGTGTCTCAAGAAGAGCATAAAGCAGTGTGGCCTTAGAGATCTGCTGTAATGGATGGCACTTAGACCATGTCACTCAGTATGTTTTTTATTTTATTTTATAATGAATGCAAAGATTTAGTGTGGGCTGCATTTAAATGGGAAGTATATTAGTTTCCAAGATACAGATTTCTGGAAGTGCTGTGATAGGAATTAAAGTGACCAGCTGCAGCCACCTGTGGCCAATGCTCAAATAATAATGGCAGCTACAGTTCAAACATCTGGAAGGCATTAGAATGGTCAGTGGTCCGTCCCCAACCTTGGCCCTCCAGATGTTCTTGGACTTCGAGGTGGTGGTGAAGGCTTCTGGGAGTTTCAGTCCAAGAACATCTGCAGGCCCAAGGTTGGGGACCAGTGGTTTAGGTCTCTGGCTGTGGAAATTGAGAGTTCGATTCCCCCACTGTGCCTACTTGACAGGGGCTGGACTTGATTATCCATAGGGTCCCTTCCTGCTCTGCAGATCTAACATGATGACTGTCCTAACAAGATGACAGCTGCCTTGCAATCCACGTGGGTGCCCTCCCTGCAACACATGCCCTCCTCCCCTTCACCAGGGACCGCCCTCCCAGGCAAGGCTCGCCCCCATCCCCTCACCAGGCGCTCCTCAACACCTCCGCGTCGCCCTCCAGGCCATCCAGGAGGAGAAATGTGTCCTCGGCGGGCTCGTAGACTTCGCTGAAGGGCCCCTGCGGGCCCACGTGCTGGTGCCACGGCGTCGGGATCATTCCGGCCGCTCAGCTCTCGCAGCAGATTCCCTGCAAGGCAAAACTCATCATCCCCTCCCCAGCGTCCCCCCCCCCGCCGCGTGGAAGGGAAACGCACCCGCTCTTCCGGGGCTTCTTTCATCCTGGCGTCACGCTCGGCTAAGTCGCCTGAAAAGCGATCCCAGAGCAATGGATTGGCGACGGAAATTGCGGCGGAAAGGATGGGACCTAGAGATACCCCGCTGTAGTTTTTAATCAACATTTCCGAGCTATAAATTAACCTCTCCAAGCGTAAATCCCCGATTGCAATTAGGGCGGTCGGCACAACGGTGTCAAAACCTCGATTAAAAGCAATGCCGCCCTGCATCCTTGGATTGCGGTCTGCGCATCACTGAGCTGTCATCTGTTAGTGCGGTGAAGTTTTTGTTGCAATCCGACGACGTGAAAACGGCCGTTCGTCATCTTTATTTTTACGAAGATCTGGGAACGTGTGGAAGCATCAGCCCTTTGGGACGACTCTTTGCTTTTTAAAACCCTGTTGATAAATAGAAATGAATTAAATGGGCAAGTGCTTTACCTGTTGAATTCTACCCAAGCGAGAGCCTCGGTAGTCATAACTTTTAATCGGCTTCTTTCAAAGAATCCTCTTGTACGCAAAACAGAAGAAAGCAAAGCCCCGCACAGTTAGAGATGCTGTTGAGAGTAATGGAAAGAGTGTCTGTGCATAATAACAACAGTGTTGTCCAGAAGACTGGAGTCCTGTATACTGAAAACAGCTGAAAACAATATTATTAAGAACCGAAAAATGCACCTGTTGATATTTTGTTAGCTAAATACCTAGAAGCCACCCAGAACAGATTTATCTATAGGCCAAAACAAGCAATTCAAGTGTCACTTGAGACTATATGGATGTGACACCAAGCCACAGAATCTTTATCTTCTGGGGGAAAAAAACAAAAACCAAACCAAGCACTGTATTCTGGGAAGACTTTGAAAAGGCAACTTCCAAGTAACCTAAATATGCCACACATACTGTTAATGTGACTAGATGTGAATGATGCAATAAGCTCCAAAACTTATAAAGAATTCTATTTCCAATACCTATTGGGGGAACAGGGGGAAAAATGAGATATTCTGGAAAAGAACCCAGAACAGCAACATTTGAGTAAGCCAGCCCAAATTCACATTGCAGTGATGTAATAAGCCACAAAACGTGTGAAGAAACCACATCCACATCCTCAATGGGCATAGGAACACGCACAAAAGAACCAAAACAGACCCAAAAAAGGCCCCCCCCCACAGACCTGCATCTCGGAGAATGGCCCAGAATCACAACTTCCAAGCAGGCCACATTTCCTGGCCACCCATGGGATAGGTGTGATTTCAACATCTTGTAAAATATCCATAAAATCCTTATACCAGAGCCCATCCTGGGTGAAAAATATATAAAGTACTGTATGGGGCAATCCCAAGAATAATAAACTCAGTACGGCAAAGCAAACAAATTCACGAATGATGCATAAGTGATGATGTTATATAAATAGCTTCAATTAAATAGCTTCAGTTACAAACTTAAAACTGCAGAGCTGGAAGGGGACCCCATGGGTCGTTCAGTAGAGCCCATGTCAAGCTGGCACAGTGGGGAATTAAACTCACAATCTCTTATCTAAACCACTGAACTATCTAGCAGTATCGGAGTGTCAGTGTGTGCCATTGATTTGCACTCATGTATTGAAAGATTTTAGTCTTCATTTTTGAGATCTGCCATGTTTGCTCCCAAATGTGAACCAGGAGCAGTCCTTGACTTGAAGGCAGATTTATTCTCATTAATAAGCTTGATCTGGAGGCATTCTCTGCTGTTGGAATTGACTACACCGCATAGGAAAATTGAAGATCCCTATGTCTACTTGACACTGAGTGACCTATACGTCTCCTCTTGGAAAAAAGCTGCAATTCAAAAGATTTCATTGGTTGACCTTGGTTGAGCAGAGCTGTGCAGATATAACAGCATGCAATCCAAATCTATGATAAAGCAGAGAATCTTTGATATGGGCAGGCGCAGTTTGCTACTAGTATCTAATACATTTCCTGTCGTATAGTGTTAAGATGAAAAATTTTCTCTAGCAACAAATATGATCCTTATTTTAAAAATCTGACAGTCCCTAAGTAGAGGGAAGCCTTTTTCTTGGCAAAGGTTAGTGCTGAGCACTCAGTGCTGATGGAAGGGCAGTCATGACCAAAGATTATGTCCATGTGGTACAGGAGTAGTTGTGCTGAGCACTCAGTGCTGATGGAAGGGCACTCATGACCAAAGATGTCCATGTGGTACAGGAGTAGTTCAGTCCATAGCACATATGTTTATAGCAGTTTTCATGAGGGTGCAGGGAACCCGATTCTGATACAGGTTCCTGGTGTATCAAATGTAGACCTTTTGGAAATATTTTAACATGGGAATAGCTGTGTTGTTGTAAATGTTACACAATTTAAAAATATTATAATTGGAACTTGTCCCAAACATGCTCCAAGCGATGCAGATCATGGAGTATTAGGTTATCCAATGACCTTTTTGAAGTTGTTTTCTATCTGTGTGTGTGCTTTTATGATCAATAGACCAATAAACGTTTGTAGTAGTAATAAATAAATAATTATGTTATTTATGTAATGTTCACAATATTGGTATTCCTTCAGATCGTGCAGAGGACTTCATTATTCTTTGCAAAATCATAACAACAAGTGCTGCCGAGTAACTTTGTGGGCCAACCTTGTGCTGTTGCCAAGGACAAAGATCAGGTCCAATCCTTCAACTTGTATTTGGGTGGCCAGGAAAAATTAGCCTCAGCTAAGGTTCATGCATGCAGATTTAAAATTAATCAAGGTCCTTGCAGAAGAACGTTGGAAAATTGTCCTGGCCAAGAATGGATTCCTATTTATGAAATTTTATAGGCATATGATTTTGTCTGGAGCCTGATCTCTCATTCTGGTGCAAAAATTGCTCAGTTGAAAGGTTATGGCTAACAGAATAGAATAATTCTGCATCATGACATAAATAATAGCACAGAATACGTATAGCAATACTCATCCCTTACACTAGTAGTTTTATTGTACTTTGTAATACTAAAACATGCATAACAACTCCTACGTTCTTTTCTGTTATATAGACAAAAAGGAAGATGTGCTTGTTGAAATAGTACCCGTGTACGCTTGGCTTTTTCTGAAGTGAATCTGGGAAATTATGGAACTTAATACTGTATTAGAATAATTATTATTGAGAAATAATTAAGATAAGGTACTGCCTAAACTTGGGCCTTAAGTCTCCTTGATTATGGAACATTCTTCCCTCACTGAAATCAGTGACATTCAGAAGTACCTATTAGATATTGCCTCAAATATGCAATAGATATTTATTAGCTTATGAAAACATCATTATGATCTTGCAGGATGAATAATATAATGATGACTTTTAATCTGGATGAAATATGTGTTGCATCTAATTATTGTATTACTGATTTAATTCTGCTTTTTGCACCACTGTTGTCATTGCGTGTGTTAGTCAAAATTGAAGTATTTACCAGCAACTACATGGCAGATTTTGTACCAGTTCAAATCCCATTGCTTTTTTCTATTTCTGGCATATGTGATTTCCTATCATGGTCCCAAGGGACAGTCCTGGGTTGACACTGGGTTGACACTGATAGTGATATTTTCATGGGGCATTGTATTATAGTAGGATAATTCCCTTCAGCTGAGTGCTGGTTGTTTCCTTTCCTCTGAACAACTTGTCTATTTTGAAAATTATGCTTGCCAAATGTAGTGATATATCAGATAAGTGTCTTTTTTTTCAAATACTCAAAATAAAAATAAAGGAAGAAGAGGAAGGGAAGGGATGGCGAAGAGGACAGTATTAATAGGGTGAGGCTCTGTTCCTGGTGGAAATTGAATCAACTGGGAAGTGCAGTGTAGATTCTTGCAAAGGGATTATATCTTATCCATGGACAGATTATTGTCCAAAAAGAGGGTACCATGCTCTGAGCTGTCAGAAATCTGTTAAGCAGACATAGGTACAGAGGGGCTGAGGTATTAGTGAAATGCAAAAAGTTCACAAAGTCTGAGACTGAGATGTTTCTCTGCAAACCTTATGTGACATAGATGTCATATTTGCAAGAATATTAGTGGGTCATAAGATTAATTTCTCGGCTATGTTCACCTTATTTAACATCTTTATATAGAAAGAAATAATCAGCTTCACATCTCAGGGAATTTTGCACTAAGTTCTACAGTCATTCCTTCAAGTTTGCTTCTGTGTTAATCCATTTGTTAAAACTTAAGCACTGTTTACATTTAGGTCAACAGAAAACTGGCCTGTGAGACAGCTGGTTAGCAGTTTTAGGCAAGAGAACTAAATTTTAGGAAAGGTCTATGAGGAAATAGACCCCTCCAACAAGGTGTTGGAGCAGGCTGTGTCCGGGCAACTCCAAGCGCTGTTGGATGAAATGGATTTTCTGGATCCATTTCAATTGGGTTTCAAGCCGGGCTTTGGTATGGAGACTGCCTTGGTCGCCCTGTACGATGAACTTTGCCGGGAGAGAGATAGGGGGAGTGTGACCCTGTTGATACTCCTGGACCTCTCAGTGGCTTTCAGCACCATTGACCATGGTGTCCTTCTGGATAGGCTGGCTGGTTTGGGAGTTGGGGGCACTGCTTTATGGTGGTTCCACTCCTTCCAGACTGACCATGTCCAAAACATGATGCTGGGGGACAGTTGCTCTGCCCCCTGGCATTTATGTCATGGGGTTCCTCAGTGCTTGATACTGTCCCACATGCTGTTTAACATCTACATGGAACCACTGGGAGAGGTCATCAGGTGGTTTGGGCTGAGGAGTCAGCAATATGCTGACGACACTCAGCTCTACCTCTCGTTTTCCACCAATCCAGGTGAGATGGTTTCTGTGCCGAACTTGTGTCTGGGCCTGATAATGGACTGGACGAGGGTTAATAAATTGAAACTCAGTCCAGACAAAATGGAAGTGCTGTTACTGGGTGCTTTGCTGAAGAGGCTAGAGGGCCATTTCCCTGCCCTGAATGGGGTTGCACTCCCCCTAACGGACAAGGTCTGCAGCCTGGTGATGCTCCTGGATCCCGGT